AAACTCAAAGCAGTGGCTGTTTCCTTCCATCATTTTGTAAATAATATTTGCATACTGGAGCTGAAAATGACTGCCACCAAACCAGGAGAGGGCAGGAAAAGTGTTTCTTTCTTTGAGGGAGGCGGCTTCACTTTTGACCGATGTGAGGCACTTCAAAGGGCAAAAGCATTATGCAGGCATTACACAGTTGAGAGTGAGCACTACATAGAATGGGAACCTTAGGCATTAAGCTCCTGTATAATAGTTCTAATCCTGGCCCCAAGCAGACATAAGAGTATGGAACATACCCTGACAGAGCAGAAAAGCTCATTCACTTGCTTGCTACACTATGGCAAGGTGGCCCAGTTGGTAGCACTGCTGCCTCACAGTGCCAGGGACCTGGGTTTGATTCCAGCCTTGGGCAACTGTCTATGTGGAGTTTGCATATTCTCTCTGTGTCTGTGTGGGCTTACTCAGGGTGCTCTGGTTTCCCCCCATAGTCCAAGGATATGCAGGTTAGGTGGATTGGCTATACTAAATTGCCCATAGTATCCAGGGATGTGTAGGCAAGGTGGATTAGCATGGGAAATGGGGCGGGCTTACAGGGATTGGGTAGGGGCATGAGCCTGGTGGGTTGTTCTTCAGAGAGACAGTGTAAACTTGTTGGGCTGAATGGCCTGTTTCCACACTGTAGGAATTCTATGATACTTGACGTTTTCCAAACCATGGAGACTGAATTAACCTGGTGCAACCTTGGACCAGGCATCCAGGGTCTGGTGTCATGGCCATCTCTGCTGGTCCTATGGAAAGAGGACATCCATTTTAAGCACCACCCCATCTACCAGGACTTCTAGATCCCCAGTTACAAACCAAGGTACCAATTTTCCTTTGTCTGTTATATCCAGGGCAAATAATCCAAACCATGCAGTGCAACTCCAGACTGACAGTGCTTGACTATGTGCATGACAGCCTTTTAACTATGAATCCTAGAATGTCTAGCAATGGTGAGTACTTCGCCAACGGAGAATTGAAGAATATGATGAGCAAGAGCAATAGGGCATCATGATGAGATGAGTTTAGGAAGATAGCTTGAGAAATCCTACTAAATCTCATTTATGTTAATTGCCCTTAATGGAGATGAGACTAAGATTCCTGTCATGCCCTTCCCCCCATACAAGTAAACATTGTCAGTACTGGGATTGAGACCTTAAAACGGACATGTCACTCAGTGCCAGTTCCTTGGCTCTGTTTCCATTTTCTGGGAGGCTGTAAAGATTCAACATATTGAATTCGACAATTTCAGATCATAACCTCTGCCCTATTTTTTTTTTCCGATAGCAGCTGTTGGTAACAATTCCTTTATTGTCGTTAGCACTTTCCTGAAACCCACGGTTTGTCCCATTTCTTTTTTTTTACTTCTTCCTTATCATAGATCTTTGCTTTCATTTTCTCCACAGTCTGATCCTTGCCAGCATACTTCCCCTGTCTCCATGCTTGTCTAATATGTTACATATCTAAACCTTTCCAGTTCTAATGAAGATCACTGACCAAAGCATTTATGCTGTTTGTCTCTCCACAGATGTTGCCTGACCTGCTAAGTTCCTTGAAAATTTTATTTTTGTTTCACATTTAATAAATGCTGTCACAGCCAATAAAGGAATGTATTATTCCTTTAATCCATAAGATCTACTGTTTCTGATTATTCTAATCGATGGAAGCAGCATTGTTCAATATATTTCTTCTGGTGTGTTGCTAACCTCACTATTTTCACTGTACATGAAGTTCCCTGTTTTGATTGTTCATTTATACTTCACAATTCCTCATTCTTTGCTAAGCCTACTACAGTCAGTACTGGTTACATAAGCTTCTCTCACTAGTATATTCAGAACTTCACTGAAATACCACTTGCTCACCTGAAAATGGACTTAATTGCTTAAGATTCTGATTCCTTGGTTACAAATAGAAATTTGGAAATTTGTAATTTAGAATTTGCAAGCCTAGCATTAAAAGTATACAGCAAGTAATATGAAAATGTTATTTGTTACAGTCTTCTTATTTCTTTCTTTCCTAATCCCTGTCTCCAAATCTAGGGAATAATTGCTTGCAATTATTGTCTTATCTGGCATTTAAATTCAAGGTGAATAAAAGTGTTCTTTTACTCTTTTCAAGTCATCATTCTAATTAGTATTCAGTGTATCAGGAGACAGAACTCTGTATTAGATATCAACTCCCCTTCAACTAACTGCTTCCTAATTTTGCATAATTTTTATAAATCTTGTAAAATTAATGATTGTACAGGGTGGATCTAGATCATCGCTTCAAAGTATGCCAAGAAAAAAGAGGTCATAAATAAAAATTGGTGAATGGAAAAATTAAAATATCACCAAGTTTGCTTTCATTCTGTGTGATATTTGGAATAATTCACGAGGTAAGGTATTAGAGACAAAAATACCTGAATTATTCAAAATATAATTGTCTAGCATGATGTAGCAAAAGGATGAGCTCCAATAAACCCAGATTGTCTTTCTTGGGCTAACATTTGAGCAACTTCATGTTTGCGGCATTAAACCTTAACTTAATAACACAACTAGTGCATCTTGTCAGGTCGTGTTGCATATTTGGCTCAAATTAACTCCTTGGATTTCACATGTTTTGTATATTTCAACGCTTCTATAAAGACTGTTTTGTGTTGCATTATAAAGTGTAGATGTCCAACACTTAACTTCTGAGTAGTAAGCCAGCAGTCAACTTTGTTTTTACATGCAATTTTCTTATAAAATTAGTCCATCAACATATATTAAGTCAAGGCAGGAATGTTGTGGGATATGTTCTCCTATTCATAAATTCATAATGTCTTCTAATGCTTGTAGATTAATTTATTTTCATATTTCTTCAAATATTTTTAGTTATTCATATCAAAATGACTAGTATGTTGCTTCGAAGGCTATTGTAAATATGCAAAGTGCTGTTAAACATCAGCCTTTTATTTGACTTTTCAGGCCTTTAGCTCCTCTCTAGACTTTCATTGCAAAACTGTTTCGCTGCACCTATTTTTTTTAAAAACAATGCTATTAGGCCTTATTATGCATACTAATTTAAGAAAAAAGAGCTGGCAATGGCTCTATTAATATCCACTGCTCCAGTGTTCAAGTGCACGAAACTATCAAAGATGAGTTTTTCATTGATTTTTGAGCGTTATAAATCTGTTGTTTACCTTTTCCAATGTGAAATGTGGTACAGGACAGTAAAACACGAGCATATTCTGACAATTGCGGTTCTGAGACAGATAATTTTATTAATCAATCAAAACAATTTTAAGACACCACATATACTTGTTCCTTTTATCCACCTTGTTAGTTACTTCCACAAAAGAAAAAAATTCAGTAAATACAACTTTCCTTCATAAAACCATATTCATTCTGCCTGATCATATTATGATTTCCTAAGTACGCTGCTATAACTTTCTCAATACTGGATTCTAACAATTTCTCTACCACAGATGTTGGATTGGCCAATAGTTTTCTGCTTATTGTATCTCTCCTTTCTTGAACAAAGATGTTATATTAGCTATTTTCCAATTCTTTGGAATCCTTCCAAAATGTAAGGAATTTTGGAAGATCATAACTGATGCCTCCATTAGCACTGCAGCCATTCTTTTAAGACCCGAGGGTACTTGTCAACATTTTGATCGATTAGCTTTTCCCAGCAGCTCTTCCCTAGTTATGGTGATTGTTTTAAGTTCTCCCTCCTCTCAATTTTCAAGTATCATTGGGAAACTCTCAAGGTCTTCTACAGTAATGACAGACCTCTACTGTTTCTTTGTTTCCATTATCAACTCCCAGGCTCACTCTCTGGGAACTGGTGTTAGCTTTTGTTACTTGTTCCTTACTTGAAAAATCTCTATCAGTTTTTACATCATGAGTGATACTTCCTCTCATACCTAATTTCTCCCTCTTTGTTATTACTTTGGTCATTCTTTGCTGATTCTTACAAGTTGATAAATCCTCAATTTCTTTAGCCATGGATGATGCAAGTTTCTGAAGGAGACTTTCTTGCTCCCAAATTTTTGCTCAGTTATCAAATATCGCCTTAAACATCTGCTACTGCATGTCTGCCATTGGAAGAACATAAGAAATAGGGGCAGAAGTAGACTATATTGATCCTGATCTCCTATTCAATATGATTGTGGATAATCTTGAGCTTCAACTCCACTTTCCTTCCTACTCCCAATATCCCTTGTTTCTCTGAACGACTAAATGTCTGTTTATCTCAGCCTTAAGCGTATTCACAAAAGAGCATCCACAGCTCTCAGAGGTAGAAAATTCCTAAGATTCATAATCTTTTGAGTGAAGTAATTTTATATTTAAAATGTCAGTCTTAAACCCACAGTTTCCTCCTTTGAACTGCACCCGAAATTCTATCATGTTATGATCACTGTTGGCTTGAGGATCCTTTTTGATGAGGTTATTGACTAATCCTGTCTTGTTGCACATTACCAGATCTAGAATAACTGTTTGGTTCTTAAACATGCTATTCTAAGACACTGTTCTTTGAAAATAAAACTCTTATGTAGTTATTTCCAGGCTATCCTTGCCAATATGATTCTGCCATTTTACATATCACCATCCATTGTTACTTAAACACTCCATGTATTTCCTCATGTATATGCTGTCCTATAGTGATGCTACTGACCTGTAAAGTACTCCCAAATAATGAACTCTTACCTTTCTTATTTCTACCCAAGCTGATTTTTACATCTTGCTCTTTCGACCAAAGGTCATCTCTCACCTTTCTACTAACGACACCCTTAATTAACAGAGCTACCCCACCGCCTCTTCTTAGCCTTCTGACTTTTGGAAATGTCAAATAGTTTCCAATATGCGGGTTCTTGCTTTGATCACCTTCCAAACATCTTTCTGTCATAGCTGTCAAGTTACAAAAGTACAGTTCTACCTCAGTGCCGGAGGTCCATCCATTTAAAATAAATGAAGTCTCCCCATTCCCCACGACCCGTGCATCAACCGGGTCAAGACCATTCGCAAATAGGTGCACAACCAGAGTCACATTTCTCTCGCTCCAAGCGGAGGGGCTTTGGGGTCGAGCTCCCTTAAACGCAAGGGATAGGGAGACGTCGTTTGGGAACGGGCGGTGCGTCGAGATTGAATTGTATTTTTCCAGCTTTCCCCCGCCCGGGAGGATGGAGGCGGGGTATACCGGATGGTGTACTCCGGGAGCCATGTTGGTTTCCGTTGGACTGAAAGTTGAGGAACAAGTTTAAACCGGGGCGCGAGCGAGAGCGCGAGACAGACAGAGCGGCTGCGCCCCTCCCTGCGCGGGGGACTGCACTGCACTGCCCTGCTCCGCTCCGGAGGGATCCGCCTGCTCGTTCGACCGTCCGCAATGTGCCGCAGCTGAGAGGCGATAGGCCGGAGAGGAGCGGCCGTGAGAGTCGACAATGATTTCCAACCAGCAGAGCAGCAACCGGCCCCGGGCCAACAACATCGGCTCGATCCTACTGACCCCGCAGGAGAACGAAGCACTCTTCAGCTGCCTCGGAAGGAAATGCCTGGTGAGTGAAGTCCGCACCCAAGAGGTGGGCCCTGTCTCCCTTCCTGTCGGCTACCTGCCCCTAGATCAACGCCGAATAGAAGAGAGCAGGATCGCTCGCCGGCTCCCTCCCCCAACGACCTGGGGCTTGATACAGAAAGGAGCCCGGGGCCTGCCATCGGGCCAGGCCCATGGTCCAGTTTCCCTGGAATCGGTGCGAAAAGCTCTGCCTAGATTCATCAGCTCAGTTCAATAATTGCACTACGCAACGAGCCGTACTACCGTGGGTGGGAGTGGGGTACACTGAAAACCACTTTACCCATTTTTTTTTAGGCAACTTTAAATGGAAGTAGTTAACACGAAGTCCCCGCACGATTTGTCCTTTTACTGATATCCTCGTAAAGCCATTGAATCATTTTGGGCTTTCCTGTTGGGGTTCTTGGTGTTTAGACAGGAGGATTATTTTACTTGTTTACTGAATGTCAAGGGAGTGTGTTTGTTTGTTGACCATTACGGAAAAAAAACATTTCGTTAACTGTAAGCTAGTCACTGCATAGTATATAGGTAAAGCTTTACTGTTCTAAGCAAGTTGGCATTAAGGTGTGTTCTACAGTTTTTACATTTTGCCTGGGTTGTATTTGTGTCAACAGGAAAGCTGTCTGATAGGTTGCTTCTTACAGTTCTATGAAGCAAAAAGAGAACATTTCCATGTCCTAGAGTTTGTGTTTTATATGTTTTTCACGAGTGTATTGTTTAAGCAGTTTGTTTAAAATACAAGATGTCATTACAGAGTATAGGTTTTTAAATATGTACAGCTTGTTGAAGCTTTTTGCACTCAACGAGGCAGCTTGCAAAATTACCAAATGACTATATGTATGGTTTGCTTCATAAATTTAATACTCTGAAATTGAGGGTGTTGTAAAAGATGGCACATGTCTGTAAATAATATTTCTGCGTCTATACATATTAAGAGTGTAGTCTGACATGGATTTTGGGGAGCCTTGCATGGAATGTACATGAATGTTCAAATTTACTTATGATCATGAATCTGAACTGATTCACACTCTTCGCGGCTAGTACTGTGCATAATCACAGAATGTATCTTGTCTCTTCTTTACTCAGTCCTCCCACCACCCGTAGTCCTTCAGTGCACCGATCCTGCTTTCAGCTCACGCTCTGTATTTCATTTCCATTTTTCCAATCGCCTCATTGACTGCCCATTAACCACAACCTCCTGTACCCCCTCGTATTTCAAGCATCTGCTTGATAGCTTCAGAATTGTGTTCACTGGCTACCTGGAATGATACTTGGTCTGTCTGCTTGACGTTAGTGAGGGCTGAAGGAGGTTTTGCTCAGATTTGTTCATCTGCCCACATAGTTCCTTGGCTTGCCAATGTCTTTACCTACTTGCATCCTCGTAACTGTCAACCTAATCCAGCAGTTAAGTACCTCACTGCTATTTGCTTTGCTTTGCTTTGTATGTTTCCTATCTTCCTTGTAGACTTGAGTATATTCTGGCTTTCTAGAATGTGAAAGAAGAAAACTACCATGAGTGAGAAGAAATAGGAGTCAGCCATTTAGTTAGAATGTGGATGATTCTTGATCACAAATCCACTTTCCTACCTGACCCATATACCCCTGGAAACAAACAGTGGTGAAAAAGAACATTGAGTAAAAGAGAGTTAGACACTCTGGTGATAAGTTGGGGGTAAGACTGAATAAAGTAAATGCTGGAAGAGAATTTTCATTCCTACCAGCACTATAAAGCTTGAGAGTGAGGCTAAAGTAGCATGCCTTCTAAAGTGAAAGAGGTAGAGGTGAAGTAATTAAAGAGAAACTGGAGTCCTGTAGTATTGGAGAAGATTGCTTAGATAAGGATATGTTAAATTCATGGCAGGATAGTGTTCAGTTCAGTGTGGAAGACAATTCAACAATTTATATATTAGGACACATCTGAAGAAACAAAAATATAAAATGTTAGAAATGCATAGCAAGTTCTTCAGCATTTGAAGAATAAAGCAGTTTAATATTTTAAGCTTGCGTAATTTGTAATTGTAGGATGTTGACAACATTGGTTAAGCTGCATCAGTCAAATGCCTATACTTACTTTGAGAAGTTGGTGCTGGGCAGGCCTCTTAAACTTTGTGGTGATATTCTCACAATAGTGTTAGGGCAGGAAATTTCTGAATTTGACCCATCAACAGTGAAGGAATGGTGATCTGTATCCAAGTCAGGATGATGTGTGACTGGGAAGAGAACTTGGAAGTGATGCTGGTTCCACAGGATTGCTTCTTTCCTTGCTGTAGTTTGCAGGAAATTTGATCTAAAATGTGCCAAGGGTAGTGAACTTAAGGCCACAATTGGATGAGCCATGAGCTTGCTTTGCCAGTCAATAAAACAGCGGTGCCAAACTGCATACCCCGTTCCTGTTTCTTGTGATTTTTATATTGAAGTAACATGCAGTTGCAATATTGCAACTGCTGCTTGTATACGCGACATTCAAAGTACTTGGGGATACTTGCACTTGGATAGTGAATACTGTAGCAAAGGCACCAATCAAAACAATGAATGCTGTTGACTTTGGAGGTGCTCATTAGAGTACCAATCCAGGGTTGATCAATGTTTCAAGACATTGCTAACTTGAACCTATAAATATACCTTAAAGGTCCACCTGAACCTTACTTTTCCTGCCAGTGTTGATATAACTGTTCCAATTAAGTGCTGACCGCAACTTGTTAATGAGCACTCCAGAATAATAGTGCCACTGAAATCATTGTTTTTTTAAAATCTTTTCTGTTGTTTGATATGGTCATTATTGAACTGCTTATGTTATGTAAATACTGCCTGCTACTGTCACTGAAGCCAAATGCACATTTTGCTGTGGGCAGGGTTTGGGTTTCTGAAAAGATTGTGAATGGAGCTAAATGCTTGAAACATCAGAAAGCTTCACACATAATGTTATAATAAGATAACTTCATTGCAGTTGAAAATGGTTGAACTAAGGATTGTTCTCTAGAATTCTCTCTCTCTAAACACCTATCTTTTCCTTTTAAGGGGTCTGCACTCCAGAAGTTAGTTAATTGGATCTGGTGCTCCCTAACCTGTTCAATTACCTCAATGCTTTCCTGTCCTCTGACTCAACTTCTCCAAAACCTCGGTTTGTGAAAACGACTACACCTCCCAGTCGCGAACCACTTCAACTACCCCTCCAACTCCTTGGACGACATGTCCATCCTAGGCCTCCATCAGTGCCACAACGATGCCACCCGAGGGCTGGAGCATCAGCACCTCGTATTCCGCTTGGGAACCCTGCAGCCCAGTGGTCTCAATGTGGACTTCACAAGCTTCAAAATCTCCCCACCCCTGACCTCATCCCAAGACCAGCCCAGCTCGTCCCTGCCTCCTTGACCTGTCCGTCTTCCCTGCCACCTACCCACACCTCCCTCCCAACTGACCAACCCCCATCCTAACTCCCTACCTACACTCACCTGTACTGGTTCTATCCCCATCTCCTTCACCTGTCTGTCTTCTCTCCACCTATCTGCTCCTCTATCCACCTTCCATCATCGCTTCCGCCTCTCTCTATTTCAGAGACCCCTTCCCCTCCCCCATTTCTGAAGAAGGGTGTAGACCCAAAATGTCAGCTTTCCTGCTCCTCTGATGCTGCCTGGCCTGCTGTGTTCATCCAGCTCTACACCTTGTTTTCTCCAAAGTCTAGCTGCTTTGAAGCATATTTGTACATCCTGCTTTCCTTTAACTTGCATCCTCCCCAGTGCTAACATGTTGAATTTAAAATCTTCAACTTTGACTTCAAGTTTCTCTGAAGTCTTTGTTTCTTTCATCTTCTACTACATAAACCTCTAATGTGCTACCCATTACCTGTTTAAAATGCCAATAGATTTCCTGTAGTGTCTCACAGAGGGATGTCAAAAAGAAGTGTAGCAATTACGCTAAACACATTTGGAGGGTGGGGAGTAATTGTATGCTGGAGAGGAGGATGAAATGGGAAAATTAAAAGAAGTCACTTGAGGGGAAATTTAAGCCAAAGAAGTGATATTACTCCTTGCTGTAATGGGTACCTAATTTTCACCTTGTTTGGTTAAAAACATGGATTCAGTAAGGCTATTCTTCATCCATAACACTTGCCTTGTGTGGAGGGAGACTTTTGCCAACGTTTCCCCCCCAGCCCCCCAAACATCTTGGAGGGTGGACAAGAAAGAGAACCTTTAATCGGCCACTTCGAGGAGAAGAGGAGTTGATGAGTAAAATACTTTAGATGCTATTTGTGACTTTGATAAGAAACTGACTCTGACAAAAATAGGCTCTCAAACTGCCTTTTTTCAACATGTCACAGCTAACTATACTATACGCTTCCTGTGCCAATCCACCTTTATTCTGCTGAATAAGACTACATTTGCCTGTTTTCATTCTTCTCCATCTAACTGCAGGATCCAATAGCTTTTCTTCCCTCACCCACATTCTTATTTCTAATGTACTTGTGGGACCTATCCATTCCTCCAGATCTCATCTATGAGCTGCCCCTTTGTAACCCCATTCAAAATGTGACACTAACTCCACATGTATGCTGATGGCAGCGAGCTGTACCTTACCACCTCTCAACCCGTTCCACTGTTGTTAAGTTGTCAAACTGCTTGAATTCCTTCCAAGAAGTTTTGGATAGATGGAAAATATTCTTGAGTTCCCACTATGAGTTGTCTATTGCTCCAAGGTTTGCCTTACCAGACTGCGTTCCTTTTTCTCGTACCAACAGTGGCTGGACCAGACTGTAAGCAAGCTTGTTATTAGACCCTAAATAAGTTTCTGACCTATTTTACTAAAACTCTGTTTTCAAAACATCACCTGACTTCACTCCTGCCTCAGCTCACCTGCTGACAAAGTGCTTGTTTAACTATATGAATGCATTTCTGATCAGTCTACCATATTGTACCCTCCATAAACTTTGCATCATCAAAAATTCTGCTTCCTGTGTTTGAAGGCACAGCAGGTTCTTTTACGCCATAT